TAAACTACTATGTTCAATGTTCATAATGTTCCTAAACCAAGAAATGCCCTGACCCGGATTCGAACCCAGGTCCTTCTTGCAGTGAGGTGACAGTGCTAACCACTACACCACTGTACCACCTATCTACACCACTGTGCCGCCCATTGCTTATCTTTCAGCATTGAAAATTCCAATGACTGCAGTCAAAGTGTGATCCAACAGGTCATTTTGCTGTGCCGAGCATACAGGGATTTATGGCATCAAACACAATACTGTTAATTTTTTGGTCATAATCATGCACTTTAACAAAACAGTGGTATACTATTAAGTTGTGCGGGCTAGGAAAAAATACTCCTTATTTAAAGACAACAAGTGACTACTGAAGGTGATGGAGTGGCTCTAAGCAGACTAGTTGCAAGCAGTGGGTCTGTATCTATCACTTCCTCCTTAGACTAACCTAAACATCAGTACTATTAGCTAACAGGAAAGCAAAAAACAGATGGCACCAGGCAAAGCTACACAGGTGCACAATAATCGTGCACCATGAACCTGTGCAACTTCTAATCCACATGTTTTCTCGGTTTGTTCCTTTGCGTGTCCCATACATCGCTGAGCTCTCTCAGTTTGTCTGTCTTAGCTGATCTTTGTCAGATTTCCTCTGCACTCACTGTAACCCCATCACATTGTCAATCTTTGACAGGAACAAAACAGCATAAATCACTGGAGCTGGATGACTCCATGTTAATTAATTGTTTTAATTGTTTCCCCTTCAGAAAGAGGAAATGATCAAAGTTGATGCAGCTGAGCTCTTGCCACGCTGTGTGTCTCCCTAATGGGAGAGAGAAAACAGTACGCGCCGCTTCCCCACTCGGTGAATTATTCAGTCCCACCTCGGGCCATTGTCTATTGATGTTCTTACAAACTTCCCCAATGCACAGCTGACAATCCTGACACTCGCCACATCCAACAGCCCCCCTCAATCATCGCACTTTTATCATGTATCTGTTTTTAATATTCACACCAAACCAAAGAAGGGTTTGCAGCCATAATTTGATATCCTCCCCAGATGTACCCCAGCACACTCTGAATGAAACAATCACTTTATGAAGGCTAAAACACCAACAATGTACAATCACAGCATATTAAAGACATACGACTACTAGCTAAACATATGCTTTATTCAAATATTTAACAATTTATTGATAGATGAAGACGATTTTAATGAAGTACATCCCAGTCAAACAGCCTGAAATGACTGAAAGACAGACTCCCTCCATTCAGCTTTGAGTATTCTTCTGTTTGATTTCTGCAGATCATTCGCAGTTGTTCAATGGTCAGACATGCTCATCAGTATTCTCTCTGAACCTCCAACTGTGATTGGTTTCTTCTACGCCGCCTGTTCAAAGCATTCGCTTAATGTTCGCCAAAAGGCCAAAGTGCCTGTGCCGTTTAGCACCAATCTAACATTTGGCCTGGCATCTCCTCTTCCTCCTTCCCAGCCTGCCGAACTGAACAGCTCACCAGCTTTATAAAGCAGAGCACACACTGGAAACTGTCTGTTTCAGTGGTTCAGATGAGAAGCCCAGACTGAAGCTAAATCTGTGAGAGTGTGTGTTAGTCATACTGTTAGCATCTTTATTACCTAACAGGCTTGTGCCTAGCTGAGGGTGAGCAGCTGTGTTTCAGGATGTCTCTCTGCAGGTGCAAAGCCCACACACACCATGAACAGGAAATTACAGCTTTACCTGGGCCAGCATTCACCTGTGCTCAATCCTGACTCAGCCCATGCTGCCCTGTGGGAGGGAAACCCTCCACAACACTTAGGGCATAAACATCTCTCTCATTTTCCAGTTGTTCTCCCTGTCTTTCTTCCTCTCGGAGCTTTTCTTAGCATCCTTATTTTCCCGCCTTTCAAACCACAGATAAAGGTCTCAGCAGGCCTTCTTCCTTTGTTGGAGTCAGCACTTCGAATGTCTGAATAAACAGGCTCTCTCTAAAATACTGCCCACGAAGCACGCAGGTATTCCAGGATTTGATATACAGATAACCTTGAAGCTGTGAGAGGTGAGTGGAGTCAACGCCTCTCAGTGAGACAGCTGAAGATGCCAACTCCTGAAATCTGCCTGATATGATGTCGACCCTTCATATTCAGTCTGCAAAACAGAGACAACATAACTTCTCAAGACAAAAACAGATACTGGACAACTTTTTAGACCTGGACCACATTAACAGCCTCTTCCTCCATGACATTGTGGTTTAAGACAACCTCAATGTAAGGACGCCTAGCCCAGGTTGATCATCCTAACACTAAAAGACTTGACAAAATTTAAACCTTTAAAACCTTAAAGTCGTCACATTGTTTTAAAAGAGATTTCCACTCGTATTTTGTGGATTTCCTCTTTGTAGACATCTTAGGATTTATTTACTAATGTTTTTAATCTGCTTAAAGGTACTATAAGGAATTTTTGACTGAGTCTGATACAAATGGCCTTCTTATGGGAGCAACAAGTCTAATAATCTCATTTAGTACCTTTAAAGGCTTGAAGATGCTGTGTGTGTGTGTGTGGGGGGGGGGGGGGTGACAAGGTTGACAGCAGGCTATAGAAACCCCTTCTTAGACTCTTACGCAGTTAATATGAGTGATACAGTTCATCTCTAAAGGGCAACAGAGTGACCTTTTCGTCTGAAAACACTTTTATATGTAGAGAATTATAGAAAGCAGCTATCAGTTTGTCCATAGGGGGCACCAACATTAACATAAACCAAAAGATCCTCACAGCAGCTTTAAATTTCTACTTTCAATAATAAAAAAAACAGTTATCAACAAAAAAAAAAACTTTTAGTGGTCTAAGTACCTTCTATCCATATCAAAATACTGTCAATCTTGCCTCGGACTGGAATTTGTGCCAATAAATCTGTATTTTGGAGTAGACATTATTTATTTGCAATGATTACTATTATTATTATTATCTTTTTAATTTAATCCTACTTTAACTGTGGATGTCTGTAAAAATACACATTCAGCTGGAAAAGGAAAATAAATGTATTGAGATGTACACACTGTACTGTTGTGGTTAAAAAATTAATAAAAATTAAGTTTTTCCAGACTTGAAAAGTGGTTGAATAGATCCTGATCATATTCACAGTCAGTATCTATCTGTGTATATTACAAATTATAAACTCACGTTACAAACTGTAAACCAGATCAGTCAGCCAGCACCTGAGCAGCCTTACTGTGGGAGGGTCTAGCAGCCCATTTTTAGTTTTTTTAAAAGGCCCTAAGTACCCAGCTAGAAGCCTTTAGTACAGTCTGTGGCTCAAATCTTGTCAGAGGGGATGACAGATTAAAGTGAGGCAGCTCTACTCTAATTGAAAACAGTTTCCTCACTTTTAAGGATTAGTGCTGATTTTATATAAAAAAAAAGATGTTAACAGAAGTTTGTCACACTTGTCTTGTTTGTCCGTCTTTCAGTTAAAAGAGGGCATCAGTATCAATTTCACTCTGTTTCATAGCCAGCTCAAAAACTCCTCACAGGAGCTTTAATAACTCGTGAATCCTGCTTCTTTCTTGGCTTTGTCGTCAGGCTGGATTACAAGTTTTAAGGGCAGAATTTGAAACAACCCTTTTAACTTGTTGGTATTGATTAAAAAAAGCATTTCAACTACTGCAGAAATCCTTGTAGTTAGGTTTATCATTGGGCTATTCAAGGACAACAATAAAGGTATAATCTGATATTTCTTTAAGATCTTATTTCAGAAAAAGATTGGACTTTTTTGGGAGTTATAAAGTCTAGGAGAACAAAAGACAAGTCCTCTCAGTATTTTAGTACAACCAAAACCAATGAGCTCTGAGTTGTAACTTATTATGTTTATTAAGACTTCGTGCTAAAACAGTAAATGTGATCAATTAGCTGCTGCACTTTTGACCCCGATGCAAACTGAGGCAGGTGTTGTGAGATGTGTCATGGAAAATATAAGAGCGTCACTGGTTCCTTTAAAATCGCTTGGGGGATTTAAAAATGGCTTTATTCCTGAAATATACTCTTCAGGCGGAATATTTTCCACTTTTTAAAGGTTAAAGAAGACAAAAATAAAACTGCAACTTCTTCGGCTTCATGTCGGGAGGAAATGATCCCAGTTCACCACTGCTCATCTTAATGAAGTTACTAATTAACTCGGGTGGGCTGTTACTGCTCATTTCATGATTCTGCCAGTGTTACTGAAAGTTCGCCTCTCTTTCAAGATTGGCCTTCTGTGCTTTTATACAACTGTATGAATGTTCACATTGCATTATCAAGCAGATAGCAAAAATACGACTGGGAAGCACATAGCATAGAGTTCCACTTATTCACAATGTCAAATAAAGAAGTCCAAAAATCCACAGGGAGGGTTTATAGATTGAAGATGAAAGGAGGACTAAAGTCATACTGGATACAGTCTGTGAGTGAAAAGAGCAGTTTCTCAAACTATTCTTTAAATCACTGAGCAGATGTCTTTGAGAGAAGTTAAGTCCTTTTTTTTCAAACCCTTCACCTCAGAGGTTGTTTTTTTTTTCTCCTTTTAATGTAGCTGTCTCTCCATACTGTGCAACCCTGCTGTGTGACCTCAAGTTGCTAAGTTGTAAAAGTGTATTTGTCTCCTTGGAAATAGTCTCTGTGGAATAGACTGACTTTATCATTTTCTTAAATTTATTCCTACAGGGGAAGAAGAATCTAGATCTTGTTTTGTTGTTATGCTGTTTTTTTATGGGTTACAATAATTACATTCATATTATCTGTTTGTGGCAAAACATAAAAACAGTCACTTTAAAAGACGAATAAGAAGAATACTCGTCTGAAAATATATTTTTTAACTACAAATGAGGAGGAGAAACAAGAAAGACTAGTGTATAAAGTATTATCAGATCTATGCACGAGAGTCTTATCGAACAGGACATTCGCCTTGTTTTCTTCACGATACAAACTCTCCACTGTCTGCGTTTAATGGATTGAGCTACAGTTCACGTCTGAAGGCTGCCGAGGATGAGCTCTAACAGTCTGTCAGCGACCTTTCTTGGCTTCCCGTCTGATCAAAGCCTCCACTCAGCAGAGCTCGCTGCTGCAGGTCCCAACCCTCTGTCCCTCTCACTTGATGTGGGGGAGAACAAAGTCAGGCTTGGAGAAGGACAGACAGAGGAGAGCAGGAGAGAGAGAAGAAAGCGAGACGAGAGAGGGGGAGAACAAGGAGGAGGCCATGCTGAGAGGTCATGTTTGATGAGAACTCTGGATCTCCTGCAGATAGACAAAGAAAGAGGAGGCGAGAGAGAGGTCGGCTCGACACAGCCAAAACAGAATCACGAAGGAGGCGTGTAGAGGACAAAAGAAGAGGCAGGAGTGATAGTAAGACTGAGGAAGAGGAGGGAGAGAGGGAGGAGACAGGAGGTGGACCCACTGGACAAGAAGGGCGTCTCTAATTAAGATCGGTCACAAGATAAACAGATGCTCTGTTTGTGTGTATGTGTGTGTAAGACGTATGACGGTCGATGATGTGATCTGTGTGCATGTATACAACATAATAGTTACACGCTTTAACAAACTGTAGCACTTTTTAAATACTAAAGACTGTAAACACAATTGTCGGTCATTCACATTTTTACATAATAAGCCTGTCATATGGGTGAGAGAGAGAAAAGCAATGCCTCTGCCTCAACATGTCCACTACCAAGGAGAGGGAGTCATTTCCTAATAGAATACAGTTCTGAACAGAACTGGTGGCCTGATTCTCCTGTAGGACTAAATTTCACAACACTTCCAACAAAACAGTTAAGCTAGTCTCTTAAAAGGATATTCCGGCGTAAAATTCATTTAGGGTCAAACACATCATAACACCGAGTTCGACACCCCCTCAAGAGATGTATGTTGTCGACCGCTTTCTTCTCTAGTTATACCAACTTTAGTAACGACCGCAGGATAGCAATACACAGCGGTCTGAGGAGCCATAAACAAACCTCAACCAAAACACCACTCTATAGCCACAAATAATGCTCAGAACAGCACCTAACTTCATCAACAGTACATATAAGGTCCTAGCCATAGAACTAGACACCAAACATCTTTTTAACTCTGCTGCGGGGTGACGCAGCTAAAGGAAGAACATTTATGATCATCTCTTTATGAAAACGCAATCAGACCGAGATGCTAAGGCAGAAGACCTACTGTGTCTGCAGTGCAGAATGATTATTATGATGATTATTACTTCAAGGAAATGATAAAGAAATGATCATAAATGTTCTTCCTTGAGCTGCGTCACCCCACAGCAGTCCATAATGGACTGGGCTGAGGTCTCGCTACAAACAAGCGGCTGCTGGAAGAGAGAAAGGTGAGTTGTGTTTAGTCTCTTTGCTAAAGAAATTAGACAAAGTTAAAAAGATATTTGGTATTATATTTGGAAGCATATGAGTCCTTAAGGATAATTTGTTAGTTAATTAAGTATGAAATCCAAACATGACCAGCTAGTCCGATTTATTAGGTATCAAGTATAGAAGCAATACTGTTTCAGTCTCCATTAAGTCCAAATCTGGAATCACAAGAACACTTTTGTTACGGTTCTGGTATAATAATGTGTCAATGCACAGAGATACATGTGTGTGAGTATGAGTGAGTGTGTTTGTGTGTGCCGATCAGGCCGGCTGTAATGTTATTCCCCGCCATCCAGCATGTCTTGTCAACCTTGGTTGCCATGGCGGTCACCGTGGGGACAATGTCAGACAGATCTGGCGAGCATGGCGGGTGTCAGTGTACTCCACATTCACAGACAAAGTGGATATGAAGCTGATCCACTGTTCATTTTACATCTGCGGGATGATGATGAAGCACCGTGCCTGTATGCCAGTGTACCGGGATGATAGAATGGGTGCAAAGGATGAAGAATTATCGCGCTTCTTTTCATCTGTTGCTACTGGATACGGACAATCTTTCAGCCTCGTGCAAGGACGGCAGGGCAGAGTGACAACCCCCCCACCATGGATCCATCTCTCCCTCTCTGGTGTCTCCGTCTATTGTTGTCTTTGTCCTTGTCTGTCTGCTTTCATGTCCCTGAGAAAAACCAGTAAAGTACAGGTGACCTGCTGGGTTTTTCAAGTTATGATAATCCATGCTGATTATTATTTCTCACAGCTGGTTAATCTCAAAACAAGATTTAGTGTGTGATTGTTCAATCATTTTTTGCCTGCATGTACTTTACTGGTAATTTGTATTCATCGATATTGCCCTATTTCCCATCATGCTATTATTTATTTACTACAATAATCCTCAAACCAAGTATTTCATTGTTCCAAAACAATGAGAGAAGCAGACTGGGAAGCTTCACCATCTAGGTTCGCAAAAGTGTCCGTAAACTCAACTGCGCCCCTTTGCACGAGGACTTTTTTTTTTTTAAAGTGAGGAGATGTAATATTTCCACTTTTCCCAATATGGTTGAAATTCATAAATATCATGCAGAGATGACAAAAATAAACAGTTTCATTATGATATTCAAAGTGGTTTGATTGATTAACGACTAACCTTTGCAGCAGTACCCTAAAATCTCAGGTAGCTGTTAGACTGTATGATGGTGGCACAGTGAGATTTTCACCACAACCCTGGAATTATAATAACACCAGCTCCTTGATAATGCCTCATACAAGACATACCACCGCAGGGCTGACAAGGAAAAATTGTGAGCATTTCTGTGAGATTTTGCCACAAGTGTGAAGTGAGCATTCTTATGAAATGGTTGACTGTGTGTGTTCTGAAGACTGTACGGTTAAAAACCCATCTGACTCCAGTGATTTTAAAATCCACTAGCCAGCCTGATCAGTCAAATGCCTCGCCCTTTAAGAATTTCTACATTAAAAGGAGGGATGAGTTATCACCTGGTTTAACACCTACCCCAGCTGGTGCTTTTAGACACCATAAGCCAACTATAAACCACTAAATCCAAACACCGACTCCTCTTGTCAATGCTCTTTGTTGTTTTTAAAGTCATAAAGAGACTTCAGTATTGATTTCACTCTGTTTCACAACCAGTTTAAAAGTACTCACAGGAACTTTAAGTCAAGAACTTCTGCTCTGTCAACGAGACACACTGTAGTGACTTATACTGAGCACAGTACAGTGTCTCTGACCCTGATCCTCGCTGAAAAAAAGGACATTTCCCTGGAGTAAAATGTCATAAAAGCATCGTAGTAGTCACAGAGTGAGAATAACTTCAAGGCAGAATATGTCAAAAGAAAATATCTTACCAGGGGAAATACAAGTTTGTGTCTGACGACATTAAAGGAAAGCGCTGCCACAGTTATGAGGCCGTCCATCTGTGCTTCATATGTTGTTCATTAAAACTACTATCCCCACAGTGCCTGGAGAGCCTACTGTTCATTCTGCATGACATTCTCAGAGGCAAATTCTTAAGACTGGCTCATCCCGGGATGTTGGCATAGTAATAAAGCAGTACACCCCCTCCCACCCACACACACACCCACACACACACCCCTACCTCTGTTACATCTACCTGCTAAATGAGAGCAGATTGCACGAATTTTATCTTGGCTCCTCGGTCTGGGAGCGACTCCCTCATTAAAACTAACAAATGAAAAAAAACCTGAACAGTTAGGTGACCAAGCCCAATTTTGTACCAGACTGTCAACCTAGTTATTCTACTGAAAAATGGGTCTTTTTACTGTGGGCTCTAATGGGGGTCTTTCTGGGCTTTTTAAGCCAGCCTCAAGAGGACTCTCAAGGATCTAAGGTTTATTTATTTATATTTCTAACTTTACGATTGGCTCCATTTTTCAACACTTGACATTGGAGCTTGATTTTGACCCTCTGTATTTTGTTGCAGTGATTGTGATGGTTTTGCATGTCCTTCTTGGTGAAAGCAACAGAGTCATCTTACACCTTTTTATTTGATGGCATGGGGGGGGGAAACAACAAGATTGAGGATGGTAAGCTTTTGAAATTCACTAATTGATGCACTTCTTTAATTCCGAGGTATTCCTCCATGTGAAACTTATTCACACCCTCTTTGCACTGGCTCCCTTGTAAAATATATTGCGTATTTTAATGTATTGCTAGAATCAAATGATATAAATGAAAACATTTTAGGAAACTTTGGAAATAAGCAGAGCATTTGCTCGACTGAATGCACCTCGGCTATTTCAAGTATTCTTCAAAAACGGAAACATCTTTTGCTCCCTTTTTCTCCAGCCATCATCAGCATGACAAGTCTCATTAGTGACTCAGCATGTGTCACATCTCCTCCCCTCTGTGCTGGATTTCACAAAGTTCAGATCATTTTAACTTTCCTTTCCTGTAACCTTATATTCCCTTTCTTGTTCTTCGATCCCCTCTCGGTCCTCTGTCTATATCAGAAGCTCTCGGAGGTCATTTTCTCTATTCTTCAAGGCTCATTGGCCCCAAAACAGAATCTGCTCTCACTGCCCACCAGTCTGGGACCTCAAAGACCTGTGAGGACAAAGAGAATTGTGTAACTTCATTCTCTTTTTGGCAGGTTGAATCTAGAATAAAAGGCTTGGATCTGCCTTTACTTCCCCAGCTGTTGTGGACAACAACTGAATGTTGTACTAGGTTCAATATTTTTCACAGCGGGGTCCCTCCAAGCTGCGGTTTGTGTTATGCAAAATTAATGAGCATTAAATATACACGCAACAACCAGGGTAAGATTTTGATAACAGGGAAACCTGTCTGTTGCTCAGCAGCATGCTAAAGTCATCATTTAGAATTCATAAGTTATGCGAGAGGGTCAATTTGCATACAGATGTGTATGCACAGTCCTAACAAAGCGCCCGGTTAATTGAATTAGCACTGACAGTCTCAGTGGAAACATGCATGCGCAGGCATTAAGGCTCCTCTGTTGCAGAGCAGTGCAGCAGTAAGCGTAAACAGTCAGCCCACAGGGAGGAGTATATTGTTATGTTCCTCCATTTGGGAGGGCAGAGCTGTAAGAAAAAAGGGCCGGGCTGTGACTTTTCTCTGTTCCAACGTCCCATTGCCATTCTCGCTCTTTACAAGCACCTTTCCTGCAGAAACACTCATCATCCTCTAACACCCTTTTCCTAACCCCTCATCCTCGTTCCTTTAGGGAGTTTCCTTTTCTGTTCACAAAAGCCATGTTTCCACTGCAGGAACTTTCCACAGAGACTAGGAACCTTTGAAGGACCTTCCAGCAAGACCTTCCTTGCAAGTTCCTGTTCGGTGTCAAACTTTCAGGAGTTTAAGGAGTTCAGGGGTGCAGCTTTTAGCATTAAACACCTCTGTTGCTATTAAGTCAAAGTTACTGTTAGCTACACATGCTTTAAGTATCTAGTAGAATCAAG